GAGTTAATACAATGAAGGAGATTGATTTAATCATCAGAAACTCAAAATAATAAGTTATTTCAACTAAACAAATTATTTAAGTTGATTTGACAAAAGAAAAAAATGTTGTGATAACAAATCTTGAAAATATGTTTTTTTTTTTTTTTTTTTTTTTTTTACAGTGTGGAGAATATGGGGTGTTTTTGTTGAACATTCAAGCATGAAAAGTTTTTTTTCTTGTAGAGGCCAGAAACAAATCAAGACTTTAAAAAAGGACACAAAAGGACGTCTTTAAGAATGGTTGGCCGATATGTTTTGTAAAGGGGTTTTCAACCATTGTGTTAATCTGTGAAAATTTATTATGGCTGTCGAAGACCGATCTATAGTGTTGCATTGAGAAGAGTCAAGTTTCTAAAATAAAAATGAAATACATGTGGTATTTCGTGGCTTCCAGGTTGCCAGCAAAAAAGTGTTAAAACTAGTGTCGGTTTTGGCCATTGGCCTGTAAGCAGAATCACAGCTCGAGGGATTGAACGATTGCGACTGGCTGGTGTGAAAAAGGAGATTTTATTGGAATTCGCTGCTATTGTGGAAGGCGTCTGAAGCCGGAGCTCATAAATGACTCACAGGTCTCTCTGTCCTCAGGAAATCTCGGCTGCTGATCAAGCTTACTGCATGTTGCTTTCTCCACGGCTTAGCTCGATTCCTGGGCTTTTCGGATTGATTTGCGACAGGAATATCAGAGCGTTGCGAGGAAGGCTGCTTTACTTTCATAAAAAATGCATTGTTTTGCATGCTTTCTAGCTGTGAAATGTAGAAACATGGAAATGACCTAGTTTGTGCTCCTGCTTGTCATATTTCTCCGCCATCACTATGGGCATTTCTTCTGCATGACAGTTGTGTCAAAGTTAAGATAGATTTCTATTAAATATATGCAGTGAGGAACATTTTATTGCTCACAGGTTTCGCTTTAATAACTCCTGGCTATGTGTGTACATGTGCAGGACTCTGGAATAAATCATTTTGTTGACCTCAAGTACCTACAACCTATATGAAATTCATTACTTATATATATATCAGTGTACCTGAACAGCTCCGTTTTAAAGATATGTAGGTGTATTGTAGGTGTTTTTAGAAATATGGTCGGTAAGATTGTCTCTTCTGCTCGCCAAGGCTATGCTGTACAAACTGTGAAATATTTTACGTAGCTGTTTTCTATTTGAATATATATTGATCAGTGATCAGCATCATTACGCCAGTCGTCACATGATCCTTCAGAAATCACTCTAATATGATTTGATGCTCAAGAAACATTGTTGTGCTGCTGCTTCGTATTTTTGTTGAAATCTTGTTTATTTTCAAGATTTTTGGATCAATAGAACCAATCTAAGATAACATTAACGTTTCTTTGACGTTATGTTCGATCAATTTAATGCATTTTTACTGAATAAATATATGAATGTCTTTAAAGTAATAATAATAATTAAATAAAACAAATCTCACAGGCCCCAAAATAGTGAGACATGTGATTCTTCATTCATCTCCACTACAAATAGGAAAAAGAGGCGACAATTTGCAAGAGCTCACCAAAATTGGACAGTTGAAGAGTGGAAAAATGTTGCCTGGTCTGATGAGTCTCGAGACATTCAGATGGAAGAGTCAGAATTTGGCGTAAACAGAACGAGAACATGGATCCATCATGCCTTGTTCCCACTGTGCAGGCTGGTGGTGGTGGTGTAATGGTGTGCGGGATGTTTTCTTGGCACACTTTAGGCCCCTTAGTGCCAATTGGGCATCGTTTAAATGCCACGGCCTACCTGAGCATTGTTTCTGACCATGTCCATCCCTTTATGGCCACCATGTCCCCATCCTCTGATGGCTACTTCCAGCAGGATAATGCACCATGTCACAAAGCTCCAATCATTTCAAACTGGTTTCTTGAACATAAAAATGAGTTGACTGTACCAAAATGGCCGCCACAGTCACCAGATCTCAACCCAATAGAGCATCTTTGGGATGTGGTGGAACGGGAGCTTCGTGCCCTGGATGTGCATCCCATAAATCTCAATCAACTGCAAGATGCTATCCTATCAATATGGGCCAATATTTCTAAAGAATGCTTTCAGCACCTTGTTGAATCAATGCCATGTAGAATTAAGGTGAAATGGGGTCAAACACAGTATTAGTATGTAAAGAGAGATATATTATTAGGGTTTACACTGTAAAACTATAATGATTAATATTAATCATTATAGTTTTACATTGATAGAGTCAGCAGGGTGTTTCCACTAAACCAGTTAACCTCTCAGATAAAAGCATGAAAATAATCCCATGTTTTCCTCAGTCTCAGAGTACAACGAAACCTCCTCGTGTCCCTCGTTTAAAGTCACATTTGCCCGCAGACAGTCTCTCTGTGTTGTTCTGCGTGAAGTTAATGGCTGATTAGGAAACAGTGTCAGCGAGAGAGGCTGCTGTGATGAAACTGCAGGAACACACTGCGTTCAAAGCTCTCCTGCGCTCAGCATTTGATGTGTGAGTGTAAAACGAGGAGCTTTTGATCCTCTCCGCTCACGGTCTTCAGGAGCTCCAGAAACACTGCTACATTTGGAGTGGGAGAGGAAGGGAAGTTTGGCGCTGTCTGGATCTGAAGGATCATCAGGATGATGAAGACAGGAAGAGTTTATCCTCCAATCCGGAGGTGTGACGCGGCTTCAGAGTCGCGACTGATCCTACGCTTGTTCTTTCAATTACGAGCCGATGGTAGACTCGTGTAAAGCAGAGATTTTGAAGGGTAAATAAATCAAGCTTGACAGAATACATGTGTTTGAAACATTAGAAACGTTCTTTGTAAACTAACTATCTCCCGTACTCAGAACAGGGCAGAGTAGATGCTGCAGGAGTTTAAAGTGAGAAAAGAAGCGCTTTTGCTCAATTGCAAAGAATAAATTTAGGCTTAAGATAGTTAGCGTAGGCCGTACTACATAGTGTAGCCTATTGTATTCTACCTGCCGTTTTTATTTTATTTTAAATCATTCGCTTATTCAGAAATAAAAATGGTTATTTTGCATTAAAAAAAGTCTTAACTCTGGGCAGTCCAATTATATTTAGTTAAGAAAATTATTAATTTTATACTGCACATTTTGGAAATTGAAGTAGGGTTGTCATAAAGATTATGATTATTATTATTATTATTATATTTTCAGTGCTATTTTAGTATAATTTTATACTATGTAATATGTATTCATATTTTGATTTAGCTTTTTATTATTTGTATCTAATATTTTATTTTAGCTTTATTTAAATGACCAAAAATGATTTGTATTAGTTTTAGTAATTGATAACACTTGTTACATTTAAACAAACATATAAACATATTATTCGTCTTTTTTTCGTCTCAGAGTACAAGGTAATGTCACAAGGTAATTGTGAGAGGTAGTTTAAAAAAATGAACACAATCATAATATCTAAAGTCCCAGTTAAGAGCTTGATTGACAGGTGATCTGACCAATCATACTTCGCCATCCGCCATTTTGTCCGACAAAGCAGTCAGGAGAGTTAGTTGATAAACATGGGAGGATTTGAACCGAAAAACGGAGTGTACTGATGCCTTTCTGCGGTTAAAAACAAATTCTTATGTTCATTCATGTTTATAAAAGGAAGATATGATCGGATCACGAGCAGCTTTAACTGATGCTCTACTACAGAGATCGACACGAGTCACACGACACATTAAAGAGCAACAAAACGGTACGTTATTTATTGTGTAAATTTATTTTTTTTAAATGCCGAAATTTGAAAGGTGAGGCTTTGTTAAATATGTTTAATATGAAAAGTAACCGAAAAGTAACCTGGTCTGTCAGCGTGTTGTCAGTCTGCGATGTATTTTTCACTGCGTGAGAACATGTTGTGTGTGTATGTGAGAGCAGTGTAACTTGTTGGACATAGCGACAGTAACTAAGGGGGGCGGGTCTTTGCGAACGGTCAATTGTGATATGTAAACTCACAAATAAAGTTGCTTGAAACAGATGTTGTGTCTTATCTTCCCTATCCGAATTAAAAAAAGGCTTTTGGAAGAACAACAAATGTGGGCGGACTTTGATTTTGTCTGTGGGAAATTGATTAGATGGTTGTGGTTTGTTATTGGTCGATCTCATGTGAGTGACAGGTTGCCCCACCCTCATAATCAGCGAAGAGCTTTATAATGAGCTGCAAGAGGGACGTTAAAGATTATGTGCAAGGATAAATCATTTATAATAAATCAGCAATATTCCATAAAAATGTATAGATTTTATGGTAAGCCATAACTATTATAATTTTTACTCTGAGTATGTTAATTAGCACACCTGTACTGTATATTCTGTATATTCTCACACTTGATTTTCAGGTTTTCACCCTATAAACTCGTGTTTGGTTCTGCAGTTGCAGTGTTTTAAGGCAATGGCGCACAGCACTGTCAGGTTTGATCAGTGAAATCAACACAACATGTCCTTTCAGATCTCTCTGTGAGTTTCCAGCTGACCGTCTGCTCCTCTCAGTGCGGCCTTGACCTTTGGAGAGCGCCGGCACATGATAGACAGAAGGTGGCTGGCATACAAGCTACTGAGTCAAGTATAAAGATAGAGAGTGACATGCAATTATCCACGGCGGTTGGAAGTAGATGTGAGAATGTTGCCATTTGAGCTCTGTCAACAAGTGTCTGTGAATGTAGGATCCTGAAAGAACCCGTATTGACACTGAAAATGGACGTGCATTGAGCGACGGCTCAGTCCAGTGTGGCTTGAAAGACATCTTTGACCTGTTCTCGATGCAGTTCTTCACTCTGAAAACCACTTTAAGTGCGGCACAAACAGTGTTTAGAGGTCCTGTTGTGAGTGTATAGTGTAGAGTCTCTCTAGAATATATTTCAGGCCAACTCATTTCTCTGCTCCTTCCAACAGTCTGGAAGGCAACTCTCAAATGCATTCACACACTCATGTGCTCAGCCAGGACTAACATTTTCCCATTGTTTATTTCTCCTGCAGGTCAATATATCTCCAGGATGCAGTAAAGCATTGACCAAAATGTTGTTCTGTCCATATTGTGGAGGAATGCCAGGCCTCAGACCCTGTGCCAACTACTGCCAGAATGTGATGCGAGGCTGCCTGGCCAACCAAGCCGACCTGGACCCGGAGTGGAACCTCTTTATCGGTGAGATACGCTTCTGTTTTCAGATCGCTGCTCAAAGATTGAGTTCTTCTTTTGGGTTATAGCAGGATGGACTTCCTTTATTTCTTGCAAGCGTTCTATCTATCTATCTATCTATCTATCTATCTATCTATCTATCTATCTATCTATCTATCTATCTATCTATCTATCTATCTATCTATCTATCTGGTTCTATCTATCATTCTATAATTATATCTGTCCATCCATCCATCATTCCATCCATCATTCCATCCATCCATCCATCCATCCATCCATCCATCCATCCATCCATCCATCCATCATTCCATCCATCCATCCATCCATCCATCCATCCATCCATCCATCCATCCATCATTCCATCCATCCATCCATCCATCCATCCATCCATCCATCCATCTATATATCTATCTGGTTCTATCTATCATTCTATAATTCTATCTGTCCATCCATCCATCATTCTATCTATTGTTCCATCCATCCATCCATCCATCCATCCATCTATATATCTACGTATCTCGTTCTATCTGTTGTTTTATCACTCTCTCCATCCGTCCATCCATCCATCCATCTATATATCTATCTATCTGGTTCTATCTATCATTCTATAATTATATCTGTCCATCCATCCATCATTCTATCCATCCATCATTCTGTCCCTCCATCCATCCATCCATCCATCCATCCATCCATCCATCCATCCATCTATATATCTATCTGGTTCTACCTATCATTCTGTAATTCTATCTGTCCATCCATCCATATATCTATGTATCTCGTTCTATCTGTTGTTTTATCACCCTCTCTGTCCGTCCATCTATCAATCCATCCATCCATCCATCCATCCATCCATCCATCCATCCATCCATCTATATATGTATCTCGTTCTGTCTGTTGTTTTCACTCTCTCTGTCCATCCATCCATTTATCCATCTTTCTATCTACTGTAAGCAAGTGTAATCACTTAATTGTATTGTATTGATGGTTGGTCCAAACAAAGTGTTTCACTTTTCAGGCCAGTAGGTTTTGCTTTCTGCCAAGAATTGTAACGTCTTTGCTTTAGCCGACTCACATTGAGTTCTGGCTTCATTCCAGTCTTTATCGCCCTGTTTTATTTAGAAATCTGTCACAAATGTGTTGTGAATGCTATTCCATGCCGTTATAGAGATATAGATCAATGCAAAATTGAGAGCTTGCTGTATTTCAAAAACACTGCTAATTGCTCCAAGGTGGTTTTCACCTCAGCTGCTTGCCTGCTGCTCAATCCTGTTGAATGTTTAATATTTTCCCGTTGATGGCATTAAATATTGTTTGAGTGATGGTTCAGCTTGATTCATATGACCTATAGCCACTCGCTTTAGCAGCTTAATGCCTCCCACCCACCGAACTGATACTGTGAAAATCAATTACGCTTTTCTTCCTCTTACCTTCAACATTCTCAATGCAGTGTCAAAGATGTACGTGTTGTTTAACTTGGAAAGTGAAACATAAATTTGTGCGTTTTTAAAGGGGTTCAATAATGTCCCTTTTTACAAGATTGAAAATATATCTCTGATGTCCCCAGAGTGTGTATGTGAAGTTTTAGCTCAAAATACCACACATATATTTTTTCATATAGCATGTTAAAATTTTCACTTATTGAGGGTGAGAAAAAATGTCCTTTTAGATGCAAATGAGCTGCTGCTCCTGGCACAGAGGGCGGAGCTTCAAGAGTGTGTGTGTGTGTTAGCAGCTCTGATTACCTCACACAGACACGCACTGGAAATTACACTCTAAACAACGCTGGGTTTTTGAACCCAAATTTGGGTCAAATATGGACAAACCCAAATGTTGGGTTAAAAATGTCATTCCAACTTCAACTTTCACTTCCAACTGTACATTTTTAAATTGCATTTTTAACCCAACATTTGGGTTTGTCCAAATTTGGGTTGAAACAACCCAGCATTATTTAGAGTGCATAGAAACTGTTCAGCCTTTTATATTCAAACTGGAGTCGGACTAAATGGACAGATTCAATAAGAAGTGACAACAGGACGTTTCTGAATGGATAGTTAATGAATTAATGAAGCTTATGTGGAGTTAACTATCTTCAAGTCATTGTTTAGCATATTCTGTCATACTAATCTTTAAATCACTTCAAATATGACCCACGAAGCTCATTTAGTGAAGCTTGTTGTAGTTCCTACCAGCCATTTGTTGTAGTCCTTAAAAAGCGATTTCTTTAAAAGAAAATATCTCCCTTTGCTTTGAACTGTGAGCGTTGTAACTTTGCAGATGTTGTTTATGCATCACACACCACATTAAACAGTCACTAAAGTTAGAAAAGTGAAATCATAATCAACCACTTCTTTAAGCTAAACTTCCTGATGTGCTTTGCCTTCTTTCTCAAACCACTTTGGCTTTGTTTTGCATTATTCAGAGCTCATTTTCTACGCTATAGATTTTAAATCAGTATTTTTCTCCCCCACAGAGAGATATCGACTGGCTTTATAGTGCCGCGGTTCGATTAGCAAAAGAGGATAATTCATTTTGTTTTGAATATTTCTGGAATGGCCACACAGAAACTAGTTGTGTTTGAAATAGCATCTCTTTGTGCGATCAGCTCGGATGGGTCGGCCTGACCTTTGCTCCATACGTGGCATTTCCCCGTGGCCTGCCTGTGTTGATGTGCCCTTCTCACCTGCATTGATTGGCAGGCCCGTGAAGACATTCAGACCACGTCTTCAGCAGGTCTGGCCCCATTCACTGCATCGATTGAAGAAAATGTTTGCTTTACCAAAGTTTCACTGGGAATGCCTTTTAGAAATTGGCACTATTGAGTTCATTACGTCGACCGGCGTGTTAATTTATTTATTTATTTATTTTAATGGGCGAAGTCAAGGGCGTATATATGCGATATGGGGTAATGCAATTTAATTAGAGCAATTCCCTGAAGAAAAGCTGCTCTTTTGTAGTTAATGGAGTTCTCATGCATGTTTTAGTGTAAACTTTGGCTCAGATGTTTCTCTAACATGCATAAGATAAAAAATTAAATGTTTTTATTGAGATTTCTGATTATATATATATATATATATATATATATATATATATATATAAAATTCTATTTTTGTATTGTTAAACTTAGGCTATACGTAAAAATCTTAAAGGATTGTTTACAATACTCTAATAATGCTGGGTTGTTTTAACCCAAATTTGGGTGAAATATGGACAAACCCAAATGTTGGGTTAAAAATTTAACCCAACTTCAACTTTCACTTACAACTGTACATTTTTAAATTGCATTTTTAACCCAACATTTGGGTTTTTCCATATTTGACCCACATTTGGGTTGAAACAACCCAGCATTTTTTTGAAGTGAAGGATACGTGGGTCAAACACAACGAAAACTATATATTTTTATGGATTTTGACTGGGTAAATAACGATCTGACCCAACTGACTGGGCCATTATGAAATATTGAGCATTGATATATTCACTCTACAAACTGCTGGGTTGTTTGAACCCAAATTTGGTCAAATATGGACAAACCCAAATGTTGGGTTAAAAATGCAATTAAAATGTACATTTGAAAGTGAAAGTTGAAGTTGGGTTGAAATTTGAAGTTACATTTTTTACCCAACATTTGGGTTTGTCCATATTTGACCCAAATTTGGGTTCAAACAACCCAACGTTGTTTAGAGTGTTGAAGGGAAGGTAAATTAAAAACAAATTAAAGCACAATTGTAAGAAACCTAAAAATTAAGAACAAAAAACAAAATGAAATTGAAAATACAAAATAAAAGACATGGAAACATAAACGTGAACCAAAAACCCGAAACCAAACGTGACGCATATTGAGTCCTGATAACAAACACTCTGAAATGGATAGTGATAATCTTTTAAATATTCATCATTAGATACATGTTGCATTTGCAAATTAAAGCATCTCATATTACAATTCTTGCATGTAATAAAACAGCTTGAACCCATAATTTGTTTGCGTACCTCATGCAAGGATCTTTTATTTGCTAATTGTGTTTTTTTTAAAGCCTTCCTCTGAGGAATCATATTTTGCGACATCATTTTGGTCAGCAATTAACGATCCCCGCTGCGACACACTGAAGTTTCCCGTTAGGATGAGATTTCACAGAACAAATGTAACCATTGTGAGGAATTAGTTTCCTGCGTTATTAATTTTCTCTCAAAGCCGTGGGGGTTTGCATTCATCTCAATTCGTGAAACCACAGGAGACGCGATGCCACCATTAGCCTCGGGAACGAGGGCGGCCCGTGATCATGCCGTTCGGGAAGAAAACAGACGGACCCAATGAGTTCCAGTTTCACAGGAAACGGGATGTACGGCGCAAACATCAGGCCGTGGGTTTATTCTTATCCTGATGAATATGCCACCTCTGGTCTGGGGTCAGACGGGCGAGGAAGTATCATTTCAGCTTCATCCTATGAGCATTCGTCTCTATCGGCTTCCGAGTCTGACGCTTGAAAGGTTTTGTGTGTACAACAGTTTACTTTAGTCACTGGATTCTTTGACGCATTGCATTTTGAATAGGCAAATCTACTGTATATGTACACTCTGTACGGATTATACAATGACTTTCTGAAGGATCAGAGCGAACTTATGAAAGACATCTCTTGGGTGAGATTTATTTTGTTGTGCATTTTGAGAGGCACATATACAGTATACAGTAAAAAAAGAGAAGAAAGAATATATAAAAGGAGTTTTTGCATTGATATAATATTATTTTCACTTCAGTTAATTACATGTTCCCCTCCAAACTCCCATTACATATTGTGCCTGGACAATATTTATTTATGTTTTTATGTTTAAATGTTGTTTTATTATTATTATTACTATTATTATTTGTATTATTATTATTTATTTATTTATTACTTTGTGTTTTTTTTGTTTTATCACAAAATGCTGTTTTTTTTGTTTTATCACAAAATGCTATTTTTTGTTTTTGTTTTTGTTTTATCACAAAATGCTGTCTTTTTTGTTTTGTTTTTTGT